CATCCCCTGCAAGCTGAGGATCCCTTTTCCTACTTGTTACCTGGCTTTGTTCCAACTGTCTCCACCACCTTCGCTTGGCTCTCATCTCCAACTGGCTGCAGGAAGGAAAGGTTAGAGGGTAAAGCACACAAAAAGGGGGCAAGCTATTCTTGCCATGGGACTTACTGCTGGCTTCAAATAAAACAGTTATGCTGGCATGAGACCAGCCAAACTTAGGAACTTTGATGGGAGAACATGGAGTGCCCCAAATTTTCCAAATTTGCAGCAAGCTCAGAGCTTGTCTATATCATTATTAGTGATATTGAGGCTATTTGCAGCAAATTGAAATTAAGTGGCCATACGTTCCCCCATTCAGAGGTTGCACTGATGTAAAATAGCCAGCTTCCCTGATTTTTGGCCCCAAAGAGCTCCATGGGTGCTCCTGTTTTATCTGCAGTGGACGGATGGCTCAAGGTAACCTCAATAGGAGAAGCCTGTTCAACTATTAGGTCTTACTGGCCATGTCTCCAAAATTCTAGGATGCCTTGCCCATTCTGAGTCCCTACAACTTCCAGTTCTACACCATGTCTTTTTACCACATCAGGATGGGTCCTGTTGGGCAGCCTGAGGGCAAGCAGGTAGTATTTTTCATCCAGTTCCATCTCCTCCTGACGCAAGGCATTGAGACGAAGGCGGAGATCCCTCCCTTGCTTCCGCAAGGCATTGTAAAGAGGGAGCTGGACAGGAAGAGAGAAGAAAGACCATCAGAGCCACACTTGCTTGAATTAAAGAAAAAAGCCCCAATCCAAATGCTTAACAGCATTAAGAAAAAGAGAGGAATTCTTAGAAAAGTGGGTAACAGGAAATTATCTCGATTGTTATAAGGCTTTGGCTTAATTAAGCTCAATTTACAAATCAACTGGATACAACCTTTGCATTTCTCAGTACCAGCTTCTGTGGCATGACAGCAGGAAGGCTTTTTAGTCCTGTTTCTGAGCATCCCAAAAACAGGTGGTTGGGTATCATAGGAAATAAAATGCTGGAACAAGCTTTAGGCAAAGCTTGGAAAATGGTTCTGTTTTTTTATGAGGATTACTAGAAATTCCAGCAAAAATAGCCATTGTAGTGCAAAAACATAGCGTCTTCTAGCTATGATTTTTGGTCAGATGTAATAGGACTCTTTCTTGGATTCCTACATAGACAAAGGAATGGCAGGAGTCCAGGAAAGGGCAGAAGTCATACCCTCCTTTCTCTGTCATAACAAAATGCACCCATAAGTTTTCAGGCTGTAAATCTGGGTAAGAATCATGCAGCTCCCCAGATGCCAGATGTTGTTGAACTGCAACTCCCTGTTGCCCTTGCCAGTACAGGCAATGGTACTGAATGCTGGAAGTTGTAGTCCAACATATGGAGGACCACAAGATTCCTACCCCTGCTATAAACTTTATTTAGTTTATGTAGTTTTTTAAAAAAAGAAAGAATATATCCTTACTGATTGCAAAGTATTGCTGTCTTGACTTTTCTGTAAAAAAAGAAGGCAAAACAGTAAGTGAAGAGGTTTTTTTTTTAAAAAAAAAACCTAAAGGTTACAATTAGAAACAGTTAAACAGCACACAATTCAAAACATCTACAAATGTTTGTAACTCTAACAAAACTACAAAAAACACAACAAACCTAATAAATAGGATTTGGGGTAGACATTCCCACTGCCTATTTATTAAAATAAAGCTATGTTTCCCAGTTCTCATGTTTGCAACAAAACCCAAACTAGGTATAATCAAGAAAGGGATATACACTCAGCTATGTATGTTTTACACTTATATAAATAAGTGTTTTCACCAGCACGGTGGATGTTTCATGGCTTTTCTATGACAATCGTTGTCTTATGGACTTACCACAAGATTCCGCACATTTTCAGCAACTTTCTCTTTTTCAGCCTCAAATTTTGCAATCTCCTCTTGCACTCCAACCAATTTCTGCCAAGTCGCAACCTGATAGGCAACCAAATAAAAGAGATAAAAATAAGACAGCCCAACTCTAATTTCATAAAGACTATTCAAAAAGAGAAAAAGCAGGTATAGTCATGTGCCCTCCCACTTGAAACTATCATACTAAAGAGAGAGAGAGAAACAATGGGAATTGGCAGTGTGCTGTTTATATTATGCTTAGACATAAATTTGGAAGTCCTCAAAACACTCTGAACACCTGGGAACTACAAAAGACTGACAAGGATCCAAAACACACTGCAGAAATAATCC